ATAAATATGAAAATGCTTGGAATTAAATAAAAATAACCGATTCCTTTTGTTTGTTTTAAGTTTATTTTATTTTATATATTTTTTTTTTTTTTTTTTTATTGCCTTTGTAGGCAGACGGGCATACGGCCCACCTGATGGTGAGTGGTTACCGTCGCCCATGGACTTCAGCAATGCCAGGGGCAGAGCCAAGCCGCTGCCTACCGCTTAAAACTCTCCACAAGCCTCGTTTGAAGAAGGACATGTCATAGCGCTCGGGAAACACCGAGGAGGGGAGCTCATTCCATAGCCAGATGGTACGTGGCAAAAAAGATCTCTGGAAACGCACTGTGGATGACCGCAGTGGCTCCAGGTAGTATGGATGAACTCTACTCCGGTGGCGGGCGGTGCGATGGTAAAAACGAGATGCTGGTATCATCTCGAACAATTCCTCAGAGCACTCCCCATGGAACATACGGTATAAAATACAGAGGNAAAAAAGATCTCTGGAAACGCACTGTGGATGACCGCAGTGGCTCCAGGTAGTATGGATGAACTCTACTCCGGTGGCGGGCGGTGCGATGGTAAAAACGAGATGCTGGTATCATCTCGAACAATTCCTCAGAGCACTCCCCATGGAACATACGGTATAAAATACAGAGGGAACCGAAGTCCCTCCGCAGACCCAGAGGCTCCAGACGATCCGAGAGAATGGGATTATCGACAATCCGAACGGCCCTCCTCTGTATGGAGTCAAATGGAAGAAGCTGGTATTTGGGAGCCCCGGCCCAGAGATGGGAGCAGTACTCCATGCGAGTATATATATACATACATTATATAAAGGTTTAAGTCTTTTATTTATCGATTGAGGCACTACGAAGTCTGCCGGGTCAGCTAGTAAATAATAGAAATATCACTTAGTATTACGTTTCTTTGAATTCCGCAATCATCATCATCAGCCTGCGGCAGTCCACTGCTGGACATAGGCCTCCCCCAAGGTTCGCCACTGAACCGGTTCTTGGGTTCTACGTATCCAGTCACCGCCAGCTGCCTTGCGCAGGTCGTCGCTCCATCTAGCGGGAAGGCGTCCTACACTACGTTTGCCAGGTCGCGGTCTCCACTCCAGAATACGTCTTCTTTTTTTTTCTGGCCGGGGGCCGAACCTCCTACGAGGTCTCCGCGCCTAGGGGGCGCGCGGGGTATGTGGGACTCAACGATCTGCAGGTGTTGAAAGCAGACTGCGGGCCCAAGGAATTTTAGGGCCTACCCACTAAACGACTCCCTTGCACTCTTACACCCGACGTCCGATCTCCGTCCGGGGTCAGAACCCGGTCTACCCCAACGGTTATCGGTTCTGCCACATATGTAACCAGCCCATTGCCACTTCAGCTTACTAACTCTGCGAGGTATATCGATCACCTTGGTTTTTGCCTGAATATTCGGTCTCGCAATGACAAACCAAGCATAGCTCGCTCCATAGCCCGCAATAAGTATTTATAAACATAGAGATTCCTCAATATTGTTTGAGCGGTGCTAACAGTTCACCTGACATTAAGTGATTACGGGATTCATCATAGACATTACAGCGTGAATACCGCTAGCTACCGCTAGTCTTCAAATGATTTGTAACCCAAATCGTAGGCCAATTTCTAATTTGTTTTACTACTACCCTTCGTAGATGCGAGTTTGAACCTTCAAGCCCACTAGAAACTCCGTTCGGCACCTTCATCACATAACTAATTTAATCCAATCAGACCCGTAGAATGTACCAAAGCAATTAACTACTTTTCTAGAAATACCTAAATATCGATTAGTTACCCACATTCAAAGTTCGCGCCGAATCTATAGGTAAGTCTATTGTTATGATCCGTTTACAATGACTTACTGCAGTACCTATAGTAGATGATTTAGTTTACTTGAAATACTTGTTGACGTTTGAAATGAGTTTATCATAGGAAGTGTGAAAGTAGCCCCGGTAATCAACAAATTAAAGAGCGGACGGTTAGCGTGGTATGGACATGTGATGCGTAGAGAGAAGATGCATGTGACTAGGAGATGTATGGAAATGGTAGTGCAAGGTAGAGGGGGAAGAGGTCGACCGAAGAAGACATGGATGGAGTGTGTGAATGACGATACGAAAGAGAGAGAGGAGTGATTGTTGAGATGACGGCTGATAGAAGAGAATGGAAGAGAAAAATTTGCTGTGCCGACCCCACCTAGTGGGATAAGGTGGAGACAGAGAAGACACTTGTTGACGTTTTAAATACTTAAACACGTTTTCAAATAAATAAAATGTTAGATTTCCAGATTTCTCTTTAAATTAAATCGGGATTTTTATGTCTTAAGTCTGTCTGGTGTTTGACTCACTAAATCTCAAAGATACAACGAAAGTAAAAGTTATCGTCCCTTTTTTTAAATTTGCTCATAGATGTATAAATTATTACGGACCTAAGATTTTGTTATTTAAAATTAAAAAAAAAATAGATTTTCTTCGATTTTTGTGTGTCAAAGACATAATTAAAACTAATTTTACTGCTCAGTCTCATAGTTTTAAATACATTACAGTCTATGTCTATGACCAGACGAAAAATACTTATTGACTTACTCCGTATATTGTACAGGTAACAATTGTAAACGAAGCATAGCCGTTTTAGATTACAAGTTAAGATTTTCTAGATAGTTCTTCTTTGATAATAATGAACCTATTTCCAGGCACTATTTTTAATAAAGCCAGTTTTTTTTTCTTTTTCTCTAACATCTCAGAAATGTATTTTTATAAAAAAACATGTCTATTAGTTTTCAATGTCGTTATGAAGTCTGTGAGGTAAAAGAAAGTATTTTTTTTTACTAAAAGATGAAAATGAAACTATGATTTATTTATTAGGAGTAACTTGAAGCATCCTCCTGCTAATTTCTCTCTTGATAACAAGAACGTTTGAGGATTTCTCGAGGTGGTCATTGAAGTAAGCTCCACTGAGTCGAGATAGTTTCGAGGTGTTAGCTGTAGTTAAGAAGAAGGATTAAAGATGCCGGTATAGTTTATTCAATAAGACTCTAGAAAAAAGTCTGAGCCAGTGGTAGAACCAGAGTACCCTCTCGAGGCTATTATCAAATTGGTAGACAAAGAGTCTGCACTAGAAAGCGAATAGCAAACATGGTCAACATAGAAAATACTGGTGGTAGGTGGACCTCTTGTGAGTCCGCACGGGTAGGTACCACCACCCTGCCTATTTCTGCCGTGAAGCAGTAATGCGTTTCGGCTTGAAGGGCGGGGCAGCCGTTATACTGAGTTAATTATACCGAGAGCTTAGAACTCATATTTTATCTCAAGATGACGGCGGCATTTACGATGTAGATGTCTATGGGCTCCTGTAATCACTTACCAGCAGGTGGGCTGTGAGATCGTCTACAAAGCTAAGCAATAAATAAAAAAAGACATGGATGATGACTTAGCCTACTGTTAAAACTGAGACCTTAGAACTCATATCTCCAGGTGACGGTGGCATTTACGCTGTAGATGTCTGTGGGTTCCGGTAACCACTTAACACCAGGTGGGCCGTGAGATCGTATATCAATAAGAAATAAATTAAAAAAAAGACATAGACAATGACTTTGCCCGGGAGCCCAGACGGCGCGATATATCACTTAAGGTTACCATCCAATCATTCTAATTAAATAGTTACTATAAAGTAAATAAAATATCATCAGTTATTGTCAAAGTTTCGAAGTTTTGCAAAATCGATCTTCTTACTAGACTTCGCAGAAGTTTGACGTTTCTAAAACTTCTAGTATTAAGAATACACTTGTATTTATTTGATGAAATAAGTATCTTGTGTGTCATTCAATTGTGACCGACGACTTATTGAGGTTCACGGATACCTTGGATGGAAGCAACGTGGGACCGATCCTTGTGGCGAGGCTTGGGGGGGGGAGGGCTTTATACGGCTGTGGACGTCTGTGGGTAGATAGAATAGGATAGAACAGTCTTTTTTGTGTGTCATTGAACAAGGGCTGCGATTTTATACAGAATTTTGGAAGTGGCCACATTGGTTAGTTTTTTTTTATTGGTTTTGCATGCAGGTGAGCATAAGATCCACCTGATGGTAAGCGGTTACCATCAGCCATGCTAGGGGCAGAGCCAAGCCGCTGCCTATCATTAAGTACTCTCCGCACGTCTCGTTTGAAGAAGGACATGTCATAGCACTCGGGAATCACCGTGGAGGGGAGCTCATTCAAAAAATCTGATGGTAATTGTGGTAATGGTAATGGTATTCGTAGATAAAGTCTCTGATAAGTTATCAGGGAATTATATTATATGGGAGATTCATCGTCACGCTCGTCTCCTTTGCAAAGTGAGGTTGATGTTTCTTTTTATTGATTTTTTATGCAAACAAGCATGCGGCTCACCTAATGAAGGGTTGTTACTGTCCCTCATGAGTGTCAGTAGTGTCAGAGGCAGAGTCAATCCGCTGCCGCACCTCACTGTACCGTCATTTTTTTCCTACCTATTCACTGTTAGGCTAATGGGTTATTCCAGCTACGGGTAGGTGAGCTGGGCTCAACCTGAGAGAATTTGCTAACATTAGCCATGGCAAGAGCAGTGCTTCACCGAATCTACTACCGAATCGCAATCGCGATCCACTGAGAAGATCCGGCGAGTAACTCAGTGGACGTACCGTCTATGAGTTCACCAATTAAGTCAGTTTTAATACCGTGTACTGATATCAGCTAATTCTTACTGGTCTCTCTGGGACCTCTTGTGATTACTGGTGGTAGGACTTCTTGTGAGTCTGCACGGGTAGGTACCACCACCCTGCATATTTCTGCCGTGAAGCAGTAATGCGTTTCGGTTTGAAGGGTGGGGCAGCCGTTGTAACTATACTGAGACCTTAGAACTTATATCTCGAGGTGGGTGGCGCATTTACGTTTTAGATGTCTATGGGCTTCAGTAGCCACTTAACATCAGGTGGAGCGCGTCCACGCATGTAAGCAATAAAAATAAAACAAAAATTCGAGGTATAAAGAAAATAATTATTCGGGTATACATTTTTTTATAAATTTATGTTTTTTTTATTGATAAAAATAAAAATGATCGCAAGGGTCAACCACTCCGCAGTGCAATGGAGCAAACTTGTCCTGGGGGAACCGCCTGCATGATCTCGGCATCCCCTACGCCAGGTTAGTATGATTTGGCAAGAGAAATACGAGAACGCCTATCAACTGTGTAACATCTCGTCACCGAGATTCAGGAATTATTGAATTTACGTGCAGCGACATCTGTTGATAACAAACTAAATAGAACAAAATCTTACGTTACGGACGTTTTTTCCCGGTTAGGGTACTCCTCCGCTTCGTCTCATAAGGAACTTTGTTAAAAAATAATGCGAATGCACGACTGATGCTCAGAGCACTCTCCACGAGAAGAATACCTCTACCATACTAAAACATATCACGATTGTTATTGAAATAACTTATTTAGCAAAATGGGTACTGCTCAAAACGCCAGTCAAAACCGACTAGAGAAATGAAATGCAGCGTTTATTTCCCGCTGCGAGTTCGCGGTTTTTAATCGTCAAGGAAATTAAAAACGCTACTTTGTAACTGCAAGATTTTTAATTAATCCGGGAACTGTTATTATTCACAGACATATTTTAATACTTTTAGAACGTTATAATTGTTGTATGCTACTATATTATTATATCTATGTATATATATATAAATGAATTGCTGTTCGTTAGTCTCGCTAAAACTCGAGAACGGCTGGACCGATTTGGCTAATTTTGGTCTTAAATTATTTTTGGAAGTCCAGAGAAGGCTTAAAAGGTAAATAAATATGAAAATACTCGGAATTAAATAAAAATATCAATTTAGTTTTTCCTTTGGTGTGTCCCCCATCGGACGGATTCGTTTTGTTTGTTTTAACTTTATTTTATACAAAAGTTTGGGTCTTTTATTTATCGATTGAGGCACTACGAAGTTTGCCGGGTCAGCTAGTTTTTAATAAAGAAAAGGTGATTTAAATAAATGTCGGACATATCCACTATGTTCATTTCTGATATTATTTTAGGCGCCATTTTTGAAACTCAGAAATGTTTATTCCATTTTTATTTATTGTTGTTTATTGACTCACAATAAAAATCTAGAAGTTTAGTACTGTAATATCGTTTCACACCAACCAATATCTAATATACTAGTCAGTCTGAATATATTGAATAATATACATTACGCCGGTCTGGTTGCCGCTAAGTACGGTTATAAAAATATATTTTATTTATATACTGGGCATAAGGATTACTGACAGCAATGCGGAGTGTATATATGCGACTTCACATGTCTGAATACCATGGAGTATCATGAGAACTAAAGAATATATTTTAATAGACCTAAACATATATATAATGAATAATAGTTTAAAAAAACTAACAAAATCCAACTAAAAAATAGAAAATAAATTTTTAATAGTGGGCTGCTTCTCAGATTAATATTTATAACTACTGATACCATGAGCCACGCTTTTTTTACAGTAAAATCATTTTGTCTTACACAAATTTTAAATAAAAAAATTTAAAATTTATTTTCTATTTTTTAGTTGGATTTTCTATAAAAGCGTATTTTGTTATTTTTTTTAAACTATTTTTTATTTTACTTTTTTAGTTGAATTTAAACATTTTAATTTTTTTTGTTTAATATTGAATTGTCATCCGTCCTTAATAAGTATACCAAATTTCGAGTTAATCCGATGCTTTGAAGGGGGTCAAAATCATGTTCAAAGATTCCGTTACAAACATACATACGTCTGAAGCTAATAAAAGCGTATTAAAAAAGGCTTTCTGTCAATTGCCAAGAACCTGCTATGAGCTACTTCGGACACATCATGCGGTTTCCCAGATATGAATTACAGAAGCTCATTGCATAGAAGGCAAGCGCGTCGTGTGTAGAACACCAGCCTAATGGTCAGATCTGGTTAAGACAGCGGTTGGTGGTAGTCTTTATCGTACGGTCCGTGCCATTTATGATCGAACACTATGGAGGGAAATCTGAGAAAGAAAATGGAGGAAAATTTGAGCTCGTCCACCCATCTAAGCAATAAAAAAAAACATATGTAGTCGCGATCCTCAGCAGTGAGAGTGACATCCTCAGGGCTATGATCTTCGCGCTATGTGGCCTGCCCGTTTCAGCTGACTAATCCTATGGGCTATATCAGCTTTGGTTCTTCTACGGATCTGCTTATTTCATTTCCTCCCTTGGCATTTAGAAAAATAGAAAACTGTTCTTTAAGTACGTAGGAAGTCTCTAAAAACTCGAGGTCAAAATTCATGAGATTTGGTCCAGCGACAACTTTCATATCTGACGCGGTACGTATCAAAACCTGTAGTCAGGCGTACACACTGCATACGTTAATGTGAATGAGTGTAATTAATTAATTATAGGGGATCAAACGAATCGTTTCTACGCAAGCGAGCAGAAAAAGGATAATCTAAAACGTGTCGAGTATAGTGCGTTGTGCTTGAGAGAGCGATTAATATGCTTTGAAATTTGTAAATGTTCTATTGTAACGGGTTTTATCAGCTTGACCTTGACTATCTTCTTCTTTTTTGTCTCCACCTCATTAAGTGTGGTCGGCATAGCGAATTTTTCTATTGGATTCTCTTCTATTTTATTTTTATTTTTGTTACCTTAGCAGGCAGACCAGCATACGGCCCATGTGACGGTAAATGGTTATAGTTGCTCATGGACGTCAGCAATGCCAGGGGCAGAGCTAAGCCGCTGCCTACCGCTTAATATTCTTAGTACCGCTTAATACTCTTTTGAGAGTAATCTTATGTCTATTTACACATTTATTTGTTAGAATTCGATGCCGGAGAAAATTGTTGTTATTACTTCTATTTATAAACTAGCGACCCGCCCTCGCTTCGCTTCGGAAACATTAAAACACACATGACCAAAAAAAAAAATTAAAAAAAAATTAAAAAAAGTAGCCTATGTTCATCAGGGACAATGTCGGCTTCTAATGGAAAAATATTTTTTCAAATCGGTCCAGTAGTTTCGGAGCCTATTCGAAACAAACAAACAAACAAATCTTTCCTCTTTATAATATTAGTATAGATAATAGCGGCGTAGAATAGTGAAAGGTTTTTAAGATATTATTTTATATTATAATTTCAAACAACAGGAAATAAGAAACTAAAAAGATTAATAATTAAATCAATTCAATACAATTTTACGTATATCAAGCGTAAACAAATAGCCGTGAAGAATCTAAAAAGCTTTTCAAGCACAATATAAGCTGCTGAAATGTTGCTCAAGGTTTATATCGCGAGATTTATTCGAAAGAAAGGATTCAAAACAGTTGAAAAAAGTTGAAAATTTTTTTTTACAATAAAACGCTGCCGCTTATGACGCAAGCCTCGCTTTTATCTGTGTACAAGCTCCGGTTGACAGTATAGCTATTACACGTTTACACTCTTGTATCTAACACCTTGACGTGTCTCCAAGTTATATTAGCGGTCACACATTTCTGGATTCGGTTCAGAATGTTTTTGTACAATACGAACTATTTTATTATTCAATAGAACTTCGTCGTCGTGGCATAAAGGATAAGAAGTCCGGTGCATTCGTGCTGAGCCATGCACGGGTGTTCGAATCCCAGGCGGGTAACAATTTTTCTAATGAAATACGTACCCAATAAATGTTCACGATTGACTTCCACGGTGAAGGAATAAATCGTGTAATAAAAATCAAACCCGCAAAAATTTTAATTTCCGTAATTACTGGTGGTAGAGCAGTAATGCTTTTCGGTTTGAAGGGTGGGGCAGCCGTTGTAACTATACTGAGACCTTGGAACTTATATCTCAAGGTAGGTGGCGCATTTACGTTGTAGATGTCTATGGGCTCCAGTAACCACTTAACACCAGGTGGGCTGTGAGCTCATCCAGCCATATAAGCAATAAAAAAAAATTGCTTAGTATGACATCGTTCTGTCTGTCTTGATAGGGCTTTGGCTTTATGACTCAAAGTGGATATTCATGACGCCAGGTCTTTGAGATCTGGTTACCTCTTACTGAACAATAAGGGAATATCTTAGTAACATTAAAACGGTGGCACATTGACTTGTTTAACTCAACTTCATTCCGGGAAAGCACGTTTTCCCTCTAAGCGTTCACTAACTAAACAAATCTCATACGAGACTAACTTTAACGCAAGGGCGGATCCAGGGGGGGGGGTCATGGGGGTCATGACCCCCCCTGAGACTGAGCTGGTTCCAGGACCTAGGTGGACCACATATTGAACATAATGATTTTAGGACCACGGTTATGGAATATAAATAAGCTGCCTCATTCCGGGCGTGATAGTGCTCTTCTGGATTTCTTCAAGAGATGATGACAATATGTACGTGTATATTATGTACAAATTATTATGTGTTAAGTTTTTCAAGTGTACAATAAAGAATAAATATTTTTAAGTACAGTACTTACGTACATTAATAAAATACCTACTTTTTACTTGTCTATTGTCTTATCTATTGTTATCAAAATTAAATTATAAGTTCTTGACTTGACCATGACTATGTGACCCCCTCCTGGCACCAAAGCTGGATCCGCCCTTGCTTTAGCGGCATTGCCTCTCTGAGTAGTTCGACGCCGAGCCGACGCAATAATGAGAAGAACATTACGACTCACCAGTTGGTCTCGTCCGCGGCCAGATGTTTGGAAAAATTGAAAGACGCTAATAAATCTTCTGTAAAAACTCCGGCGTTTCTTAATGACCCGCCTAATAGGCTGTCTGTTATAATTTTATCAGACTTTAACTATAGTTAGGCAAACTTATTATTTTGTTTTGAAACTTAGATGTTAAATGAACGTTTGTTTGCTTGTTCACACGGAATTTGAACGGCTTGAAGTACAATCTACAATCTTAATTGAAGATTCAAGAAACGAAGAAGCCGTTTTAAGAAGCTAGGACTTTATTTACGAGAAGCCGAGTTATTCCATACTTTTAGCGATAATAGAAGCGAAACCCGGTTCATTGGTTAATCATTAGAAGGTAAAACCTTTTGAAGGTTTGGATTTTTTAATAGCGTAGATTGTCGATGAAGCACCCACAAGCCCTTCAAAGTGTTTTACGAACATAAAAGATCGAGCTATTTATGATTCAGTACTCACTTTTTCTGTCTTCCGTTTTTTTT